TAAACCCCTAAACCCAAAGTCCTAAAGCATCGATGATTTAGGCATGGGCCTTCTCCCCCAACAAGAGGCTCCTGAGCCCAGCCTTGGCATGTTTGGGCCTTTGACGGAGCCTCCCTAAACCCATAAAGCCTAAACCTTAAACCCTGAACCCCAAACCCTAAATCCTAAACCCTAAACCCTAAACCCTAAACCCTAAATCCTGAACCCTAAACCTTAAACTTCAAACCCCTAAACCCTAAACCCTAAACCCTAAACCTTAAACCCTAAACCCTAAACCCTAAACCCTAAACCCTAAACCTCAAACCCTAAATCCTGAACCCTTAAGACATGTGATGCTATGGCCTTGAGAGTCGCTGCGGTGAATTGGGCGTTTTCGGGGCTGGACATGATTTAGGTCCCTAAACCCTAATTTAGGGTTTAGGGTTTAGGGTTTAGGGTTTGGGGTTTAGGGTTTAGGGTTTAGGGTTTAGGGTCTGAAGCCCTAAAGCCCTAAAGCCCTAAAGCCTACCCAGAGAGCCCAATACCCCGAAATTAAGGACTATACCTAAGTCATGATATTAAGCCCACTATAATGTAAGGTTCAGGCGTATTGGGTTCTCTGGGTAAACCCTAAGGCCTAAAGCCTAAACCGCATCCAGGTTTGGCACCGTCCTGGATGAGCTGCTTTCTCTGATCTTTGATGCTTGCAGTAGGCGCGAGGAGCGGAGCGGATCCTGTTGGGTCCCTAAACCCTAAACCCTATCGGGTTCCTTTAAAGGGTTCCTTTAAGGGTTTAGGGTTTTAGGGCTGAGGGTTTTAGGGTTTAGGGTTTAGGGCTCCGAAAGGGTACCCAGAGAGCCCAATACCCCTTACTTCGGGAATATACCTGAAATCATAAGGAGCCTCGTCTTATGATTTAGTGTATACTCCTTAATCAAGGGGGTATTGGGCTCTTTGGGTAAATATATGGGCTTACATGATTACGAATCATGTTCCTCAGGGGCGCAATCACTGTTCAGACAGGTTTACGTCTGGAAGCTCCCTGGTAGCTTGTTGTATTTAACTCCCCCCAAACCCAACTTTAATGATTAAGGCCCCTGTACCGAATCTTCATAGTTCCCCTAAAAGTCGTGACCCTAAACCCTAAACCCTAAACCCTAAACTCTACACCCTAAAACTCAGTTCAATTCCGCTGGCGGTTCCTTGTATTAGGAGTTTCAGTCTCGACGATTCGAGAGTCTAAGGTTAGACCTAGCGTTTCAAAACGTCTTTCGCAAGCGAACTTCGGGGTCCTCATCGTTACCGTCTAGAGTTTCCGAAAGGGACGTCTAGAGTTTAGGGTCGAGGATTTAGGGTTTGGGGTTGTGTTGGCATGTGTTGGCTACACTGTTCAATTCAATAAATTAGTTTCGAATCTCGGAGTGGGTCTTATTACAAGAAGGCAGGACAGCGGCAAGCCTTCCGATCGATACCTCCAGGGTTTGAGAGAAAATGGACTAAGAGCTAAGGAAGGTTTGGGGATTTCCCTAAACCCTCAACTGCGCTTCCAAATCCTAAGCCGTTGAAACGAAGAACTGATTCCTTTACTACTCGTGGCTGCTGTTCGGCTGATCGGCCCGCGCCGCTGCTGTCACCCCGAAGTCAGCATTGCCCCATGCCACGACGTAGCCATCACTCAGGATCGCTGCAAAGCCTGCTCTCGGACTCCACTGCTGTCAACCCCGTCGTCAGTACATACCAAGGTCGCAAAACAGCCAGGGCGAAGTTGACTGAATCTGCTGCGCATTCTCCAGCTGATCTCGGACTCTGCTGTCAACGCCGTCGTCAGTACTTCCCCCAAGTCGCGACTGACCATCCCCAGAGTTGTAGAAAGGCCTCATCAGCTGCTTGAATCTGCGCCACGGTCCTCAGCTGATCCAGCGCGCCGCCGCTGTCATCTCCGTGGCGAGCATCGCCCCAGGTCGCCATTTGAATGTCGACTCCTCGAAGGTGCGACGCTAGAGGATCCCGGGTCTGCAGCCTGGCCGCCCCCCTCCATCTAGAACTTGGAGGGTCGAGGCGAGGGACTTAGTAACTAGTTATTCTATAGACTTACACGTACCATAACCCCAATTAGGATCACTTTTAGGGTACTTATAACTCTACTTAATATCTACTTTCTAAGTCCCCCGACCCTCCATGAATGCTTCAGGGTGCGTGGCGCAGAGAGTGCCAGGAGTTGGTAGGGATCGACCTTTTCCAGCTTCCAGTGCTCCCTGCGTAGCCATGTGACGGATTGCATCAACTCGTCGCCGTGCATCGAACCCTGAACCCCAAACCCTAAACCCTAAACCCCCAAAATATGCACAGTCTTGCCACCTCGCCACATCTTTGCCTCACCTAAGTGGCATGAGGAAGACGATTCAACCACTGCCAATGTGCCGAATGCAGTGGGGCGGTGTTGTGTCGGGCGGCGTGCCAATCAGTACCGCACCCTCTCGAGCCTGGCATTTGCCTCTACCCCGCGATACGTCGTCGGTCGAAGATCATACACTTGAGTAATTTTATGTAGGGCGTTAATAATTAAAACAGGGTTTCGGGGCCCATAATACTATACTTATAATTTGAGGATCCCCCAAAATAGTAGAGGTAATTATTAAGGCCCCTTTATTACGGATTTAGGATGATTTAGGTTTTAGGGCTTTGAGGTTTGATGGTTTGGGGCGCGTGGCCTTGCCTCCTCTTCAAGCGCCCAAACATTGGCTGCATTCCAGTCTCCGGCGATCCTCAAAGGGTTTAGGGTTCAGGGTTCAGGGTTTAGGGTTTAGGGTTTAGGATTTAGGTATGTGGCGTTCCTATCCAGAATAAGTTTTTGGATCAAAGATAGCATCAGACCCTCAGGTGGAAGCAACGCCTAGACCCGAAACCCTAACTCCAACATCAGACAGCAGTCGGCTGAGATTTCGAGCTGCACCCGAAAAGTTGGTTTTGCGGGGGTTGGTTGGGAGCTGGACCGTATAACAGGCGCGGCGTAGTACCGGAATCGAGGGCAGATGGCGGCACCCACTCTAAATGCCCCCGAGGTCACCCTAAACCCTAAATCTAGATCCAAAACCCATCCCCAATCCATGAACCCCAAACCCCTAGACCCCACACCCTAAATCCTAAACCCTCCTAAACCCTAAAGCCTAATCCCTACGTCCTAAGCCCCAGACTTGTGGAAAACCCCCCAAAGCTCTCGATCTGCCTCCCTGGCACCCTAAACCCTAAACCCTAAACCCTAAACCCTAACCCCTAAACCCTAAACTCTGGCAGGCAGCATCAATACACAGAGATGTACACAGATCTTTGCCGGGCCCTCGGACCCCCTTAGACCCGCACCCAGCGAGTCCCATTTCCGTCAATTATAAAGAACATATGTATATATAAAAATACATATATATATATACATACCTTCTTGATATTGATTGTAATTAACGCTTTTCTTAGTCCCTTGGCCTCACAATATAGGTATCGGAAGATTTTGTAAGAATATTGCTCAATCCTGTTCTAATTTTAAACACTTCGCGTCGCCCGCCTCGGCCCGGCTGCAGACGTATGCGCTGAATCGACCGGGGCCAAGGCGAACGCAAAGGTTAAAGACCTAGGCTGCCGCTCTCAGCCAGTGCAATTGGGACGGGCAGGAGAAAAAGTAAGGTGAAAGCAAGCGACAGGAATCGAACAAAAACAAGAATGGCGGAAAAGCGGAAGCACGAATGGCGGGGGGCAGAGCGGTCGGAATATCTAGTAAGTGTTTAGGGTTTGGCGGTGATACCATAGTTTACCCGAAACCCTGTTCTCACTAGGAATAAATGGGTGACGTCACGATTGTAATTTTGCCCGAAACCCCCTAAACCCTAAACCCTAAACCCTCATTGTTCAGGCCCGACCCTCCCTCAAACCCCACGTCGCCAATGAGGTCAGAAGCTCTTGGACCACGTGGCAAGGCGATGTTTCGCTCGACTATTGGAGTTCGGGTTTTGAAGCATTACCTTAACCCCGAAAAACCTAGCTTTTTAAGTTAAGGAAATCATAGTCAGAAACCCAAAAAACAAGGTTCTTGAGTGTCCAGGTAGGATTTATGGTTTAGGATTTGTCCAGGAACTCCTGGCGACGTTTCCTTTTTAAAACTCGACGATCCTAAACTCTGAACCCTCGTGAGGCATACTTCTGCAAAAAAGGAACCCTCAACCCGAAAACCTTACAGCCTAAACCCTAAACCCTAAACCCTAAACCCTAAACCCTAAACCCTAAACCCTAAACCCTGAACCCTAAACCCTAAACCCTAAACCCTGAACCCTGAACCCTAAACCGAACCCCTGGAGCCTAAGTCCTCAACCGAAAGCCTGTGCAGACCAGAGGCCTGCTCCCCAGAGAGCCCAATACCCCTTAAATAAGGAATATACCTTAAATCATAATATCAAGCCCTTTATAGTTTAAGGTATATTCTTTAATTAAGGGGTATTGGGCTCTCTGGCTCTGCCCTCCATCTCCAAAATGACAGCGAAACCGTGAAACCCCGAAACTCGAAACACATTAATGGGTAGTTCTGTAGATTAGGGTCCCGTTTAGGGTCCTTTTTATAGGGGTGCCGTACTATATAACACCCAGAGACTCCAATATCCCTTAATTAAGGAATATACCTTAAATTATAGTAGGATCCCTGATATGGTTTGAGGTATATTCCTTAATTAGGGGACATTGGAGTCCCTGGGTACATTAATGTAGGAGCCACAGTGATGAATAGGGCTTGGCGTGAACATATGCGATAATGATTGCAATATGACAAGGAAGGAGTAGTATGACTAATTAGTTCCGCTTCTATACTGGGGTCCTAAACTCAAATGCCCTGCAACGCGGAAGCACTCGTGCAAAAAACGAGGCTACACTCCACCGCCCAAAGCCCAGAACCCCAGAGGATCTTGTATGGTTTCAGCTCTTATGCATTTGTATTTGTCTATATTCTATTGTCCCATCGGCTTTTTTTTTCTCTCTCTCTCTCTATATATATATATATGTATGTGTACATATATATATATATATATAGAGAGACATATGTAGACATGTTGCATACATATACAAAATGTACATACATATGTGCTTATACATATACCCACACAGACCCTAACCCCTAAACCCTACACCCTAAACCCTAAACCCTAAACCCTAAACCCTAAACCCTTACTATTCTACTGATTAGATCAATCCCACCAGGGAGCGACCGAACCTCGATGGCCGAGCTCGTGCCCGGGGCTCAGCCTTCCGGCTTTTCGGGGCCTTGAGGCCTGGAGTTTGAGATTTAGGGTTTAGGGTTTAGGGTTTAGGGCTTAGGGTTTAGGGTTTAGGGTTTAGGGTTTAGGGTTTAGGGTTTAGGGCGTACCTAAGCCCCAGAGGACCTACCAGTTAAGGACGTATGTAAGGAAACGATACTAAGGAACCCCTAAACCCTAAACCCTCAACCCTAAACCTCAAAGCCTAAACCCTCAACCCTAAACCCTAAACCCGAAATCCTCAACCCTCAACCTAAACCTCAAGCCCTAAACCCTCAACCCTCAACCCTAAACCCTCAAACCCTAAGCCCTAAACCCTCAACCCTCAACCCTAAACCCTCAAACCCGACCTTGAAGCCCCACACCCTGAACACCGACCCTCACAGACCAAACCTGAAAGTCTCTCTAAAGCCTTAATAGTTAGA